GGACAATGGGTGGGCAGAAGGGACACGTGCAAAGGTTCTATGTCGAGAAGGGACACTGAGGGTCAATGAGTACTCCACTCTCCAGCTACCTGAATGACAGGAGTGATGCTGACATCACTCCTGTCATTCAGAACAGAGCACAGGGCAGGGCTGAGATAGCTGCTGGAGGGAGGATTCTGCTCTCGCCTTCCAGCTGCAGGACTGGAATCTCCTCCCCCTGCCTCCTCCTGAAACCAATCATGGGGGTTAATAATGTGTCTTCTGACATCTGTGCTGTTGGTTATTATTGCATACACTGACCCAACTGACAGCAGTTCTGAGGGTTAATATTGTGTCCACTGACAGTAATGTGAGTAATGCTCCCTCAGCAATCTAGGTTCTGGCAGTCTTCAGAATGCAGGGGGAAGCAATCAAACCTACAGCCTGTGAAATCTAGAGCAGGCCAAATAAATCATTAGCTGCTCCAATGACTACAGAGGTGTCGAAAAGATCTAAATTTTCCTAGCATCCGAGCAACCAAACTCCCATCATTCAAATTGATACACAAACATTTAATTTTTAGACTTTTTTTTGCTTTGGCTGATGTTACACGGGGCACAGTCCAGAATGTCCAATCCGCCATGCTCTTTGTTTGTCCACCTCTTCCATATTGACCTAGGCATGTCATTTATTTCACAATCCCATGCTACTGAATGCTAGACAATCTTCAATCAAACACCCCTGGAAACCATCTCTCCACATCTGATGCCCACTCCCTGCACCTATAAATGGCTCCTCTACTCCAGGACTGGAAGGCATGTGCGCTCGTGTACAACCCGCTCACATGCCACCTTCCTTACCCTCCTTCTACTCCTAACCTCTGGGGATAGCTCCCCGAACCCTGGTCCTCCATTATTTCGCCCACACACAAGACATCCACTCAATCTATTACCTGTCCCCTTGCTCCCCAACACCACCCTCCCATTTTCATGTGCACTCTGGAATGTCCGCTCTGTCTGCAATAAACTCACCTCTATACACGACCTCTTCGTGTCCCATCTTAACCTTCTTGCACTCACCGAAACCTGGCTCCAAGCAGCAGATTCTGCCTCCCCCGCAGCACTCTCCTATGGAGGCCTCATCTTGACCCACTCACCCAGGCCCAGTGGTCGGAAAGGAGGTGGGGTTGGTCTACTTCTGTCACCACTAAGCACCTTCCAAGTCCTCCCTAACTCACTGTCAGGGCTCCGGGGTGTGACCAGAGGTGTGTGACTGACGCAGGGAAACGCAGACTTCAGATATGTTATAAACAATGTAATTTATTAACACTAACAATACAAACATAAACGCAGTGCAATACTAAAACATAACACAGTGCAAACGAAACCAAACCAAACCACCCACAGATAACAGTACATACAATGCAAGCGTCGTCAGGCAGGCCGGGTCAATATCAATCGGGCAGGTAGGTACAGGGGGAGCAAGCGGAGAATGGTCGGGGTCACAAGCCAGGTTCAGCAGGTAGCAAGCAGCGTAGTACAGAGGGTCAGGCAGAGGAGAATGGTCAGACAAGCCAGGGATCAGGAGCAGGGTCAGCAGAGAATCAGACAGGAACAGGGAGCAGGAACAGGATACAGGGCCCAGGAGAAAACACACACCAAGGCAGAGTCTGCAGGTCTGAATGTCCCTTAAATACACCAGTATAATTAGTTCCAGGTGTTTGACTGGCTGCAAGGTTGAGTCTCTGATTGCTGGGAGCACCCGCTGGCCAGCCCTGGTACTGCAGCCCACAAGGCAGGTGAGTCCCACCATTACTGGCCAGTCCATTCCTGACAGTACCCCCCCCTCAAGGAGCGGCCTCAGGACGCTCCAAACAGTCCTAGCTGGGCAAAATGTTCCACCGCCCGGGTCTGGTAACTGGCGGGATATCAAAGACTGGCACACCGGGCAGGACTGGCACGGCACCAGGCAGGACTCCGGGCAGCGGCACACGGGCAGGACTCCGGGCAGCGGCACATCGGGCTGGACTCCGGGCAGAGGCACATCGGGCTGGACTCCGGGCAGAGGCACATCGGGCTGGACTCCGGCAGAGGCACATCGGGCTGGACTCCGGGCAGAGGCACATCGGGGGCTGGACTCTGGGCAGAGGCACTCTGGGCAGCGGCACACCGGGCAGAGGCACATTGGGCTGGACTCCGGGCAGAGGCACATCGGGCTGGACTCCGGGCAGAGGCACATCGGGCTGGACTCCGGGCAGAGGCACATCGGATTACCAGGCGAAGCAGCAGGCACCGGGCCACCAGGCGGAGCAGCAGGCACCGGGCCACCGGGCGGAGCAGCAGGCAGCGGGCCACCAGGCGGAGCAGCAGGCACCGGGCCCCCAGGCGGGGCGACAGGTATCGGGCCCCCAGGCGGGGCGACAGGCACCGGGCCCCCAGGCGGGGTGACAGGCACCGGGCCCCCAGGCGGGCGACAGGCATCGGGCCCCCAAGCGGAGCGGCGGGCGCCGGGCCCCCAGGAGGGACGACAGGCATCGGGCCCCCAGGCGGGGCGACAGGCATCAGGCCCCCAGGAGGGGCGACAGGCATCGGGCCCCCAGGCAGAGCGGCGGGCGCCGGACCCCCAGGCCGAGCGACAGGTCTCAGGCCCCCAGGCGGAGCGGCGGGCGCCGGACCCCCAGGCGGAGCGACAGGTCTCGGGCCCCCAGGCGGAGCGGCGGGCGCCGGACCCCCAGGCGGAGCGACAGGTCTCAGGACCCCAGGCGGAGCGACAGGTCTCAGGCCCCCAGGCGGAGCGACAGGTCTCAGGCCCCCAGGCGGAGCGACAGGTCTCAGGCCCCCAGGCGGAGCAGTGGGCGCCGGACCCCCAGGCGGAGCGACAGGTCTCGGGCCCCCAGGCGGAGCGGCGGGCACCGAGTCACCAGGCACGACAGTGGGCTCCGAGTCAACTGGCAAGACTGCGGGCACCGAGTCAACTGGCAAGACTGCGGGTACCGAGCCAACTGGCGGAACAGCGGGCTTCGAGTCGTCTGGCAAGACTGCGGGCACCGAGTCAACTGGCGGAACAGCGGGCATCGAGTCAACTGGCGGAACAGCGGGCTTCGAGTCGTCTGGCAAGACTGCGGGCACCGAGTCGTCTGGCAAGACTGCGGGCACCGAGTCGAGTCGTCTGGCAAGACTGCGGGCACCGAGTCACCTGGCGGAACAGCGGGCATCGAGTCAACTGGCGGAACAGCGGGCACCGAGTCGTCTGGCAAGACTGAGGGCACCGAATCACCAGGCACGACAGTGGGCTCTGACTCAATTGGCACGACAGCGGGCACCGGGTCATCAGGTACCAGATTGTCTGGCTCGACAGCGGGCATCGGGTCACCAGGTATGACAGCGGGCACTGGGTCACTAGGCATCAGGTCATTTGGCTTGCCAGCGGACACCGCGTCATCTGGCAAGGCAGTGGGCACCGGGTCACCAGGCATTGGATCGTCTGGCTCGACAGCGGGCATCGGGTCACCAGATATGACAGTGGGCACTGGTCACCAGGCATCAGGTCATTTAGCTCGCCAGTGGGCACCGCATCATCTGGCAAGGCAGTGGGCACCGAGTCACCAGGCACAACAGCGGGCTCTGAGTCAACTGGCATGACAGCGGGCACCGGGTCATCAGGTACCGGATTGTCAGGCTCGACAGCGGGCATCGGGTCACCAGGTATGACAGCGGGCACTGGGTCACCAGGCATCAGGTCATTTGGCTCGCCAGCGGGCACCGCGTCATCTGGCAAGGCAGTGGGCACCGAGTCACCAGGTACACAGCGGGCTCTGAGTCAATTGGCACGACAGCGAGCACCGGATCAGGTACCGGATCATCTGGATCAACAGCGGGCATCGAGTCAACTGGCCTAATAGGATCGTCAGGCTGGATCAGTTCATCATGCTGGGTAGAGGCTTCAGGCTGAGTAGAGGTATTAGGCTAGAGTAGCATCAGGCTGAGTAGAGGCATCAGGCTGAGTAGAGGCTTCAGGCTGGGTACAGACATCAGGCTGGGTACAGACCTCAGGCTGAAGTGCGGGTGCTGAGGCATCAGGCTGAACCACGGAAGGCAGGCTCACCGGTTTGGATACTGGCAGGATGGTATTGGTTGGAAAGAATTTTCGCTTTTTTCTGGTTTTAACTACTGGAGCACTGCAAGTAAACGCAGGTCTGCAAACGAATGGAGCAGCTGAGGACAGAGAAGAGCTGGAGGATGGAACAGGGGAAGGAACAGTCGCTACAGAGGGCTTTTTTACAGGGTTAAAAGGCAGGATAGGTGCAGCGAGTGGGAACAGGGGACTGACATGCGGTAGGTAGCAGGGTATACTGGGCTGTAACTGGAGGTGCTGTTGGGAATGCAGGAATAGAGCTTTGAGGAAATAGATTAGAAGCAGGACTGGGTCTTTGTAAGCTGACTGAGGCTGGGTGCAACAAGTCTGTCCATGTCTGCAGTATGGGTTGAACAAAGCTGAGCTTACACAAAGCCTGTCTGGTCAATGACTGCACTGCGTTTATACAATCTCTTAGTACCTGGTGAACATGCAGGTACCAGATGAAACCAACTCAGCACAAACCTCAATCAATGGCTGCACCTCAGAGAATTCTGTGCCCTGATCTACTAGAACATGAGCGAGCCGTATACATTCTAGTAGTTCATCCCGGGGATACTCCCTCAGAGTCTGATAAGCATACTCTCTGTCATCAAACACTAGCAGATATAAATACTCAACCTCATCCAGATCCATCCTTCCCAGCAACAAGCCAAGATGGCTTCCCTGTGCAGCCACTTCTGGTCAGGATTGGCCTTGGTGTAATGTCAGGGCTCCCGGGTATGACCAGAGATGTGTGACTGACGCAGGGAAACGCAGACTTCAGATATATTATAAACAATATAATTTATTAACACTAACAATACAAACATAAACGCAGTGCAATACTAAAACATAACGCAGTGCAAACAAACCAACCAACCACCCACAGATAACAGTACATACAATGCAAGCGTCGTCAGGCAGGCCGGGTCAATATCAATCGGGCAGGTAGGTACAGGGGGAGCAAGCGGAGAATGGTCGGGGTCACAAGCCAGGTTCAGCAGGTAGCGGGCAGCGTGGTACAGAGGGTCAGGCAGAGGAGAATGGTCAGACAAGCCAGGGATCAGAGCAGGGTCAGCAGAGAATCAGACAGGAACAGGGAGCAGGAACAGGATACAGGGCCCAGGAGAAACACACACCAAGGCAGAGTCTGCAGGTCTGAATGTCCCTTAAATACACCAGTATAATTAGTTCCAGGTGTTTGACTGGCTGCAAGGTTGAGTCTCTGATTGCTGGGAGCACCCGCTGGCCAGCCCTGGTACTGCAGCTCATAACGCAGGTGAGTCCCACTATTTGCTGGCCAGTCCATTCCTGACACTCACCCTCTCTATCATTCTCTTCTTTTGAGACCCACAGCATCCGGCTATTCTCTCCAATCTTTCTGAGGATTGCAGTGATCTACCGGCCTCCTGGCCCCGTGTTCTGCTTTCTCGACAACTTCGCCGCCTGGCTACCCTACTTTCTCTCCTCTGAGCTACCCACTATCATCCTTGGAGACTTCAACATCCCTATTAATGTCAATAACCCGGCTACATCCCAACTCCTCCACATAACCTCTTCTTTTGCACTCACACAGTGTATACAGTCCTCCACTCACTCCGACAGGAACACCTTAGACCTTGTCTTCTCTCACCACTGTACTCCCTATAACCTCACAAACACCCCCTTTCCTCTCTCTGATCACAATTTCATCACCTTCACAGTCTCCCCGTCCTCTAACACCTATCCCACCAAACAGCAGACAATTACCCGCAGAAACCTCCGCAACCTAAACCTGGCTCCCTTCCACTCTGCAACTGACCAACTTTATGACAGCATCAACCCCCTGTCCTGCCCCGACCTGGCCACTGCTGTCTACAACAACTCGCTTTCATCCGCTCTAGACTCGCTTGCTCCCCTAACAATAGGGAGCATCCGGCCCCAACCTTTACAACCTTGGCAGACTGACCACACCCAGAATCTCAAACGACAAAGTTGAGCGCTGGAGCGATTATGGTGTAAAACCAAATCCCACCAAGCGTTCACCCGCTATAAATCTGCCTTCCTTACATACACTTCCTCCCTTCACGCTGCCAAACAAGCCTACTTTGTCACTCTCATCAATACCTTCTCTTCAAGTCCTCGTCGGCTCTTCTCTACCTTTAACTCTCTACTTTCTCCGCCCCCACCGCCACCCAGCGCATCACTCACTGCCCACGAGATTGCAAACCACTTTCAAAACAACATTGACGCAATTCATAGGGACATCGCATCTACACAGACACCAACCCCACTTAGCATTGCTCATACCATACCTCCCTCAACACTCTCCTTCTTTGACCTCACTACCACCGAAGAGATCCTCAAGGTCTTCTCAGAAGCCCACCTCACCACTTGCCCCTGCACCCTGTCCCCTCGCAACTCCTTCGGTCACCCTCCTCCTCCATCCTATGCTCCCTCCCTCACATCTTCAATCTCTCCCTCTCTAATGGTGCCTTTCTCCTCCCCTGTAAAGCACGTGCACATCACTCCCATACTTAAAAAACCCTCCCTGGACCCCTTTGACCTGAACAACTCCCTGCTGCCATTTACCTCTAAACTCCTAGAACGCTTAGTCTACAATCGTCTGAGCTCCCTTGCCAGGGGGACTTCCCCTAATGAAGCACTTTGTCCCAATGTTGATATGAACAAGGGTCTCCTCACCACATCCCTGGCCCAGTGAATGTGGCGGTTTGTAGGCAGTGGCTTATCGGAATCTTTACTATATTTGGTCAGTGACATCATTGGCATCCCAGTGACATCATTGACCACATATGGTCATGCCTATATGATATCTGGTTAATGGCATCACCCAGGAGCCCCTGTTCATTTGTATAAATGGGCTGTAATCCTGTCATTCGGTGGAGGTGGGACCACATGTGTCGGAGGATGGCATTTTTTTCTTCTGGCAAATCGGTGGGCATCAGGCATCTTGACTGATGTGGACCAACATCACATTTTTTTAATTGTTTACATTTTTTCTGAATGATTAGGTGTCACATATCTGGTGGTGACAGGGCTTCCCATGCAGCTCTGGTCCAAACACCCCTGGAGGTGGTGACAGGGAGATTAAGTCACAAAGTGGCACATGTGCTGAACGTCCAGCTAGTGGCTACTCCTGGAGGTGGTCAGAATGGTAGGAGATGGGAGTCTCAAAGGGACCACAGAGAGACGCTGTAAAAGAGCAGGTCGGTCCCAGTAGCTGGCAGAATGTTGACACCCCACGGTAGGAAGAGGTGATGCAGGATAGAACCAGGAGAGAACAACTGGAGGAAAGTGGTGATGAAGTCAAGGGCCAAGCTAAGGTCATACACATGAGAACAATAGGATGTAAATGAGAGAGTTCCTAGGGAGACTGTGTTATCAGAAGAATTGCTAAGTAGGCAGATGACCAACCTCTTTTTGTTATCACTCTAGAGACACTGCATGCATACATCTCTACACCTTAGTCACCAGGAGACCATTACTTTGAGCAGAACCACAGCTTACCTGTTTAACTTCATCCAGTTACCAGTATTCAGTAATATTTATGGGCCCCACCATTGCTAGCAGAAGACAATGGATACCAATATATTAGGAGCGTTTGTCATCACAGGACTCAAGCTGCAGTTTCTAGTTAAAAAGACTTATTCCTTTTTAAGGCCATTGTTACTCAAACAGGGGTACCTACATACACTATATTGCCAAAAGTATTGGGCTGCCTTCCTTTCCACGCACATGACCTTTCATTTCCTCCCAGTCTTAGTCCGTAGGGTTCAATATTGAGTTGGCCCCGCCCTTTCCACACACATGACCTTTAATGGCCCCCCAGTCTTAGTCTGTAGGGTTCAATATTGAGTTGGCTCCGCCCTTTGCAGCTATAACAGCTTCAACTCTTCTGGGAAGGCCGTCCACAAGGTTTAGGAGGGTGTCTATGGGAAGGTTGGACCATTCTTCCAGAAGCACATTTGTCAGGTCAGGCACTGATGTCGGGGGAGGAGGCCTGGCTCACAGTCTCCCTCTAATTCATCCCAAAGGTGTTCTATGGGGTTGAGGTCAGGACTCTGTGCAGGACAGTCAAGTTCCTCCACCCCAAACTGGCTCCTCCATGTCTTTATGGACCTTGCTTTGTGCACTGGTGGGCAGTCATGTTGGAACAGGAAGGGGTCATCCCCAAACTCCTCCCACAAAGTTGGGGGCATGAAATTGTCCAAAATGTCGCCTTAAGAGTTCCCTTCACTGGAACTAGGGGGCCAAGCCCAACCCCTGAAAAACAACCACACACCATAATCCCCCCTCCACCAAACTTTACACTTGGCACAATGCAGTCAGGTAAGTACCGTTCTCCTGGCAACCGCCAAACCCAGACACGGCCATCGGATGGCCAGACAGAGAAGCGTGATTGGTCCCTCCAGAGAACATGTCTCCACTGCTCTAGAGTCCAGTGGCGGCGTGCTTTACACCACGGCATACGATGCTTTGCATTGCACTTGGTGATGGAAGGCTTGGATGCAGCTGCTCGGCCATGGAAACCCATTCCATGGAGCTCTCTACGCACTGTTGTTGGGCTCATCTGATGGCCACACCAAGTTTGGAGGTCTTTAGCTATTGACTCTACAGACAGTTGGTGACTTCTGCGCACTGTGCGCTTCAGCATGCGCTGACCCCGCCCTGTCATGTGACGTGGCCTACCACTTGGTGGCTGAGTGGCTGTTGTTCCCAGTGGCTTCCACTTTGTTATAATCCCACTAACAGTTGAGCGTGGAATATTTAGTAGCCAGGAAATGTCACGGATGGACTTATTGCCCAGGTGGCCACCTATCACGGGACCACGCTTGGAGTCACTGAGCTCCTGAGAGCGACCCATTCTGTCACCAATGTTTGTAGAAGCCGTCTGCATGCCTAGGGGCTTGATTGTATACACCTGTGTCCATGGAGGGGATTGGAACACCTGAATCACATGATTGGGAGGGGATTGGAACACCTGAATTACATGATTGGGAGGGGATTGGAACACCTGAATCACATGATATGGAGGGGATTGGAACACCTGAATCACATGATTTGGAGGGCGGGCCCAATACTTTTGGCAATATAATATATATTTATATAGGAATTTCTACATGGCCTTTGTAACGCGGGTGGCCCAGAGGGAGCTGACAAGCCAGCATGCCTCCTCTGATGATTGGTTGACTCTTACTTCACAGAACTGTATAATCTGTTGAAAGTTGCTGATTGTCTGTTCCTGTTGTACCTGTGCTTCTACTTTCATGCTTTGACCGGGGGTTGGGCATACTAATCCCGCTATTCCTTTGGTTTACCCTTTGAAGAAAACACTAATATAGAAGCGTTACTAAAGAATTGAGTCTCTTGCATGACCAGAGGACTAAAGATGGCTTGTAAGTCCCACTAAACCAATACCTACCCCCCATACTTAACCTAAGTAACCACACTGACAACAAATGGAGTTAATGGGCCAAAAAAACCAGCCTTTTATTACATCAATAAATAACACACACAGTATAAAGTACGTTCCTGCAAGGTCCCAATAGGCATCAAGAAAATGAATACCTGCGTCCTGCTTAATTAGGCCTCCAGCAGCAACATCACCGACTTGGAGACACCACCACAGATACCCCCTCCAGAACTGGAAGCCGTACCTCAGATGGGTTCCTACAAAGTGCCTTTTCTTGTGACCACCTTAACCAACGAGGACCTTTCACCCCGCTGGATGTCCCCCAGCACCAATATGGCATAACCACCACCCAGACAGACCATAAAACAACGGGCGGGAGGGAGGGAAGTTTACCCTGTGAAAACTCCCTTCAGACTGAAAACCCCCAGCCAGCCACGCCCTGTAAGACCACCCCTGCCACGCCACACCCTGTAAGACCACCCTGCCACACCCTGTAAGTAGACCCTGTAAGGCTCCCTCCAATCCTTCCTTAACTATTTTTAACTCCCCCTTACGCTAATGGGACTCTGCCCATCCCAACCCCCTTTAACCCCCGTCATGCCGTCCCTTCGTTCTTCGTACTCCGGGCCTTCCTTTATTATCTTCTATTGCAGAAATATTTCTAAGCCCCGAGTGTCGGAGGTTTTGGAGGTTTACAAAGCCAGGGCAACCACTTGGGACAGGTATCATCAAGCGGCCCCCTACAGGGGTAGCGCTACAAAAGAGAAGATGAGTAAAGCCTTTTTTTTGTGAATGTTCAATGAAGAAGAAAATATTTTTCTCTTAGTGAAAATTGAATTTAGAGAATGAGGAACAAGGCCGTTACCTTTAATAAGCCAGGCAAAGACTTCCAGGTCCCGGCATGAAGGGGAATGCATTCTATGCAAATCTTTGTCTGCCCGCAGCTTCCCCTGAGAAAATTAGGCCGGCCTGTCGAAAAGTGACGCTGGAGTGCTGAGTGGCGTCACCTGTAGAGCGGGTTGGAATGAAAGCCATGTGTTTTTTTTTTATCAAACCCCTATCAGCATTGTTGTCTCTTGAGACTTGAACCATACAGGACTCCATTGTACACGGATCAGTGATAGACGTTTCATCCAACGTCTGACGGGACGGCATACTTCACATTCTTCCATCCTCCAGGTCACACTTACTTTTTTCAGATCTGGGAAAGTGAAAGAGAAGTTCATAGGGGCGCCTGACCCGGGCAGGAAGTAAAAACTGTATATAAAAGCAAAAAAAAACTACGCTAGATGCGTGATAAAATGTGAGTCATACAAAGCTGAAATAAATGAATAAAGAATTAAACTAAATCATAATAAATAGAAACCTTGTGCCAAAGAAATAACAATCAATCAAAATAAATGCTGCTGTTCAAATAATGACAAAACATCAAACAAGATTCATGACACAGCGCAGATAATAAAGAATAATATTTAATATTATAATATATAAAGGTCCAAAAAAATTACAATATACAAGTCCAAAAAAATGTATAATATATAAAGGTCCAAAACAAATTATAATATATAAGTCCCAAAAAAATGATAATATGTAAGTCCAAAAAAATTTTAATATATAAAGGTCCAAAAAAAATTATAAAATATAAGTCCAAAAAAATATATAAAGGTCCAAAAAAAATTATAATATATAAAGGTCCAAAAAAATTATAATATATAAGTCCCCAAAAATTATAATATATAAGTCCAAAAAAAAATATAATAAATAAATCCGAAAAAATTACAGTATAATATATAAAGGTCCAAAAAGAATTATATATATAAGTAAAAAAAATTATAGTATATAAAGTCTAAAAAAATTATAATATATAAGTTAAAAAAAATTATAATGTATAAAGGTCCAAAACAAATGATAATATATAAGCTAAAAAAATGTATAATATATAAAAAAAATTGGGACTTTTTTTGGACTTATATATTATTATTTTAAATATTATTCTTTATTATTTGTCACCTTATAAATTAAACTAAATATTGTCGCCACTTCCAATAAGTCAATGTAACACATAAAAGGAGCCCACAAAGTGATTCAGTAGCACAAATTGTATGTGAATAAGTGTAAAAGTGAAAAACCAACATAAGTGAAAATAAAATCCAAAAAAAGTCCTAATCCCCCAAATAAATCTTCAGATTCTCCAGAATAAATCATGTGTAAAAGAACTAGTGTCCCCCCTTTTGGGTATACACTCACCCAATAGCCATGCCCCCCCATTCTCATGGTTGGCTAAAATCGCTCAAAGAGTATCTCCCAATGGGAAAAAGGATCGATTACTATCGATGTACTTCCTCTCCTCCAATCTCCATGTCCGCCATTCCCCAGGACTAACTGACAGCACTTCACAGATTGGTAGATTCCTAATACAGAGGCACTCGTGATAGCATACAGGATAACCTCCTTCTTCTTAATACTCCGCTCTCAGGTATAGTGTTCATCCATTAGATGTGGCGTCTGCATTAGTCTTCTTTTTTTTTCCCTCTGTTTTCACCTGGTAATCTGGCCAGTAACACACCTCCTGTATTAGAGCGCCCCCACTCTGGATGAAGGAGCAACGGGGGGTACCATTGGAATAGAAGCTTTGTCAGTCTCTCCCCATCCTCATACCTGGGTCATCTCCTCTGACTGGCCGGGCTCCTACAGTGCCTAAAAACTGTCTGAAACTATAATCTAATGCAGGGGTGCTCACCCCATGGCCCACAGGCCACATGTGGCCCTCTGAGACCTTTGGATCAGAGTGGCCCTTGCCCTCAAACCAGGGAAGAGCATGCCCGGGTTTAGCAACTCATTGATCACAAACCGAGGCTTGCTGACCCTCCATCTCAGAGGATCAGAGTGGCCCTTGCCCTCAAACCAGGGAAGAGCATGCCCAGGGTCAACAACTCATTGATCACAACCGAGGCTTACTGACCCTCCATCCCAGAGGATCAGAGTGGCCCTTGACTTCAAACCAGGGAAGAGCATGCCTGGGGTCAGCAACTCGTTCATCACAACCGAGGCTTGCTGACCCTCCATCCCAGAGGATCAGAGTGGCCCTTGTCCTCAAACCAGGGAAGAGCATGCCCAGGGTCAGCAACTCGTTGATCACAACCTAGGCTTGCTGACCCACCATCCCAGAGGATCAGAGTGGATCGACCAGGCACCAGCAGTGGAGGAAATAGGCAGTCGCGGAGGGAGCAGGACCCGAACAAGTTCGATGTTTCCTCTGTAGCCCCGGCTCTTCCCAGGCAAAGCAATACCAAGTGCACTTCTCCTGGGACCTTTCTAGCAGCCTGGAGATGGAGAGCGATGCCAGCAGAAGCTGGAAGAGGAAATGAAGGTCAGTGAATTAAACAATACATGCACTGCGCTTTTTCATTGGACATATTAGCACCTATAAAAGGGTTAACAATTATTAGGCACTAATATGTCCATTGAAAAAGCTCAAAATGTGACAGGGAGGCCGCAGCTCCCATGCTCCCTGCACGCTCCCATGCTCCAGGAGGCCGCACGCTCCCATGCTCCAGGAGGCCGCACGCTCCCATGCTCCAGGAGGCCGCACGCTCCCATGCTCCAGGAGGCCGCACGCTCCCATGCTCCAGGAGGCGCACGCTCCCATGCTCCAGGAGGCCGCACGGCCCTGGAACATGGGATGGGGTCACCGTTGTGATCCCAGACACTACACTGGTGGTTGGGAAGGCTGTGGTAAAAACACTTCTGCACGGAGTAGCACACACTGACTGCTGAGATAAGGGGGGGGGGGGGGCAGAGACAAACCTTTCCACTGCTGTATGGAGTAGCACAGAGTCTGTAGGATGAGTTCTCTCCTCCTCTCTGTTGCTGGAAGCTGAGACAAGGAGGCAGAGACAGTCCTTTCCGCTGCTCAGGAAGCACAGGATCTGTAGGAGTTCTGTCCTCCTCTCTGTTGCTGGCAGCTGAGACAGGGAGGCAGAGACAAACCTTTCCACTGCTGTATGGAGTAGCACAGAGTCTGTAGGATGAGTTCTCTCCTCCTCTCTGTTGCTGGAAGCTGAGACAAGGAGGCAGAGACAGTCCTTTCCGCTGCTCAGGAAGCACAGGATCTGTAGGAGTTCTGTCCTCCTCTCTGTTGCTGGCAGCTGAGACAGGGAGGCAGAGACAAACCTTTCCACTGCTGTATGGAGTAGCACAGAGTCTGTAGGATGAGTTCTCTCCTCCTCTCTGTTGCTGGCAGCTGAGACAGGGAGGCAGAGACAATCCTTTCCTCTGCTGCTCAGGAAGCACAGGATCTGTAAGAGTTCTGTTCTCCTCTCTGTTGCTGATGGCTGAGATGGGGGGCAGAGACGAATCTTTCCGCTGCTGCTCAGGAAGCACAGGATCTGTAGGAGTTCTGTCCTCCTCTCTGTTGCTGGCAGCTGAGACAGGGAGGCAGAGACAATCCTTTCCTCTGCTGCTCAGGAAGCACAGGATCTGTAAGAGTTCTGTCCTCCTCTCTGTTGCTAATGGCTGAGATGGGGGGCAGAGACGAATCTTTCCGCTGCTGCACGGAGAATCACAAGATCTCTAGGAGGAGTTCTGTCCTTTTCTCTGTTGCTGACAAGGTGGGGGCAGAGTTGAGGGGG